CTCTTCAAGGAGAACTACAAACCACTGCTGAAGGAAATAAGAGAGGACACAGGCAGACAGAGAAACACTCCATGCTCATGGTTAGGAAGAATCAATGTCGTGAAAATGGCCATACTGCGCAAAGTAATTTATAAATTCAATGCTATCCTCATCAAGCTACCATTGACCTTCTTCACAGAACTGGAAAAAACCACCTTATACTTCATATGGAACCAAAAAAGAGCCTGCATTGCAAAGACAATCCTAAGCAAAAAGAACAAAGCTGGAGACATCATGCTACCTGACTTCAAACTATACTACAAGGCTACAGTAATCAAAACAGCATGATACTGGTACAAAAACAGAGATATCGGCTAATGGAAGAGAACAGAGGCCTTAGAAGTAATGCCATACATCTACAACCATCTGATCTTTGACAAACCTGACAAAAACAAGCAATGGGGAAAGGATTCCCTGTTTAATAAATGGTGTTGGGAAAACTGGTTAGCCATGTGCAGAAAGCAGAAACTGGACCCCTTACACCTTATACGAAAATTAACTCCAAACGGATTAAAGATTTAAACATAAGACCTAACACCATAAAAGCCCTAGAAGAAAACCAAGGCAATACCATTCAGGACATAGCATGGGCAAGAACTTTATGACTAAAACACCAAAAACAATGGCAACAAAAGCCAAAATAAACAAATGGGATCTAATTAAACCTCAGCACTTCTGCACAGCAAAAGAAACAATCATTAGAGTGAACCACCAACCAAGAGAATGTGAAAAAATTTTTGCAAGCTACGTATCTGACAAAGGGCTAATATCCAGAATCTACAAAGAACTAAAAGAAATTAAAAAAAAAAAACCCATCAAAAAGTGGGTGAAGGACACGAACAGACACTTTTCAAAAGAAGACATTTATGTGGCCAACAAACATATGAAAAAATGCTCATCATCACTGGTCATTAGATAAATGCAAATCACAACCACATTGAGATTCCATCTCATGCCAGTTAGAATGATGATCATTAAAATATCTGGAGACAACAGATACTGGAGAGGATGTGGAGAAATAGGAACACTTTTACACTGTTGGTGAGACTGTAAATTAATTCAACCATTGTGGAAGACAGTGTGGTGATTCCTTAAGGATCTAGAAATAGAAATACCATTTGACCCAGCAATCCCATTATTGTGTATATACCCAAAAGGATTATAAATTGTTCTATTATAAAGAAACATGCACATGTATGTTAATTGCAGCACTATTTACAATAGCACAGACTTGGAACAAACCCAAATGCCTATCAGTTATAGACTGGATCAAGAAAATGTGGCAAATACCATGGGATACTATGCAGCCATAAAAAAGGATGAGTTCATGTCCTTTGCAGGGACATGGATGAATCTGGAAACCATCATTGGAGGCAGCAAACCATTATGGCATGTGTATACCTATGTAATAAATCTGCAATATCTGCACATGTACCTCAGAACTTAAAGTATAATATAAAAAAATAAATTTAAGTTAAAGAAAAAGAAAATAGTTTTCCTACTCTTGATTGATCTCAAAGATAACATTAGTAAGAATATTAGTATTATTTCGGAATTTAATGCTCTATTGTTAGGTGTATACATGTTTAAGGTTGTTATATCTCCTTGAATAAGTGGCTTCTTGATTGTAATGTAATTTTTTTTATCATTTATAATTCTTATTATTCAAAAGTTAGCTTTGTCTAAAGTTAAAATTGCCTTTATTTCTTTATTTTTTCTGACATATTTCCTTTCCTTATGTATATATGTGCTTTTGGCCTATATCATCTTTTGTCTTCCTAAGAAGCTCTTTCAACATTTGTTGCAGTACTGCTAGAAATTAGTTATTTCAAGATCCATTTTGTTTGCCTAAGAAACTGATTTTTCCTTCATTTTGAAGAAATAATTAGTCAAAATAATAATTGCAAATATGCACTGTGTGATTTTTAATGTGGGAAAGTGAGATGAATGACAGAAATGTTACACATAATAAGAGAGGAGAATTGGGAATAGTCTGTTTTAAAATAACTGCACCACCCATGAAGCTGTATACTGTTATTTAAAAGTAAACTTGGATTGATTTCAAATATATGTCAGCTCTAGTACAACTACTACAAAAATGTTTTAGATGTATAATTAATATGCTGAGGAGAAAGTGAAATCATATAGTGTGCCAAATAAAAAATGGAAAGCAGTGGTAAAACAGAGGAAGAAAACAAAAGATACAAAGATAAGTGAAAAGAATATACAACATTACAGACATGACAGGTGTTACAGCAACTATATCAATGATTAATTAATTATGAATGATCTATACACACCAGTTAAAGACAGAGAATGAGAGAGTGTACACAAACAATACACGAGTATATAAATTCTGAAAACAAGTGACTTTAAAGGAACAGGAGGAAACTTTTTGAGCAGTTGAGTAGGTTCACGGCATAACATGAAAATGATAGTTTGATAATTTTATGAATGTAAACTTATTCCCAAACAAATTAAGTTGTATACATTATATAACAATGCTTTTCCACATGTCAATTATACTGTAATAAAGCAATTGAAAAATAAGTTTAAAAATAAATATTAAAAAGCCATTTATATATAAGCACAGACAGATTAAAAGTGAATGGACAGTAAAACACATACTATGCTAATATCAATAAAAAAAATCTGGCATATATACATTGATTTTAGACAAAGCTAACATTTGAATAATAATAATAATAATAATAATAAATCAGTAATAGGCTTGGTGTAGTGGCTCATGACTATAATCCCAGTACTTTGGGAGGTCAAGGCTGGCAGACCATGAGGTCAGGAGACAGAGACCATCCTCATCCCATTATCATGTAACTTTTCTTCTTTGGAATCCACTCTTAGTCTGATGAGTGTTTCTTTATAGGAAATTAGCATACTTACTTGCTGTTTTTAGAATTTTCTTTCTGTCTTTCACTTTAGATGGTTTGACTATAATATGCCTTGAAGATGACAATTTTGCATTTTATCTTTTTAGGCATTTCTGAGGCTCTTCTATATGGATGTCTAAATCTCTTGCTAAATTTGAAAACTTTTCATCTATTACTTCACTAAATAGGTTTTCTTGCCCTTCTGTTACATCTTAGCCTTCTGGAATACAGATAATTCAAGTCTTTGGTGGTTTTGTAGTCTCCTATGTGTCTCATTCATATCATTATTTGTTTTTCTTATTTCTTTGTATTGTTTTTCAAAATTCCTTTATATATTACTGAGTTTCATGGGTATTGACATTTTGATTTATATTTTTTAGAATTTTATGAATTTCTTTTTGTTTCAGTCTGTGGCTGAAGAATTATAGCATTCCTTTGGAGATGTCATATTTTCAGGGATACAAAAGCAATTTTCAAATCAATAAACGTGATACCTCACATTAACAGAATGAAAAAAAACTATATAATCATTTCAATAGAGGTACACAAAAGCATTTGATAAAATTCAACATCTCTTCATGATAAAATTCTCAATAAGCTATACATATAAAGACCATATATGACAAACCTATAGCTAACATTATACTGATAAAAGAAAAGTTGAAAGCTTTTCCTCTAGAACTGGAACTTAAAAAGGATACCCACTTCCACAATTGTTATTCAACAAAGTACCAGGAATCCTCACTGAAACAATCAGACAAGAGAAATAAATAAAAGGCTTCCGAATTGAAAAAGAGAAAGTCAAATTGTCCCTCTTTGCAGACAACATGATCTTATATTTAGAAAAACCAAATGACAAAAAAAAAGTCATAACTGATGAATAAATTTAGGATACAACATCAATATGCAAAAATTGGTGATATTTGTATACACTAGTAATAAAATAGCCAAAAAGGAAATCAAACAAGCAATTACATTTAAAATAACTACAAAAAGTATTTATGAATGTATTTTACCAAGGAGGTAAAAGATCTCTATAAGAAAAACTGTAAAACACTGATGAAAGAAATTGAAGAGGACACTAACAAATGAGAAGACATTCCATGTTCATGAATTGGAAGAATTAATATTGTTAATCATATTGCCCAAAGCAATCTACAGAATCAAATGTTTATAAAAATGTCATTGCCATTTTTCACAGAAATAGAAAAAACAATTCTAAAATTTACATAAAACCAAAAAAGAGCCAGAGCAGCCAAAGCAATAGTGAGTAAAATGAACAAACTTGGAATCATCACCTTCCTTGGCTTCAAAATGTATTAGAAAGCTATAGTAAAGAAAACAGCATAGTATTGGTATAAAAGTAGCCACATAGACTAATGGAACAGAATACAGAACTCAGAAATAAATCTACATATTTGCAGGCAACCGATGTTTTACAAAGCTGTTAGGAACATATGTTGCGAAAAGGACAGTTTCTTCAATAATGGTGCTAGGAAAACTGGATAACCATATGTAGAAAAAAGGAACCAGACCCCTATTTCTCACCATATACAAAAATCAACTCACGATATGTAGGGGCTCTGTAAGGGTAGTGGGAAAAATTATAAGAAAAATTATAGAGAAAAGGATGCAAACTTTTTGGAAGACCAAAAGGTTTTTTACTCAGGATTCCTCTAAGTAAAAGGCAATTTGAAGCAGTATTGCCATTATCTATGGACCTGCAAATAGCACTCTCTGATTACACAGGCCATATAGATTATATCCTTTCTGCTGACAAGCTCCTTCAGTTCTCATTTTGTACTCCTGTGGTTTTGCCTACAAAAATAGTTCATTTCCCCATATACAACGCTTTAACACTATTTACTGAGGGATCTGGTAAAATGGAAAAGCAGCTGTTTGGTGAAGACCACATAATTCCCTCACTCAATCTGGATTGACTAGTACTCTGATAGCTGAGATTGGAGCTCTGACATTGGCCTTAGAAACTTTTTCCACTAAGCCCATCAATATTGTTAGTGACTCTGCTTACTCTGTTTATTTATTACAGAACCTCAACACAGCCCTAACTAAATCTACAGCCATACTACCTTGAACGCACCCAATCTCATCTGATCTTGGAAGCTAAGCGGGGTTGGGCCTGGTTAGTACTTGGATGGGAGAACACCCGGGAATACCAGGTGCTGTAGGCTTTTGCAAATACCTCTGGCTTTCCAAGAAGGCTTGTGTCTTTTTCTCTATATTTTTTCTTTTTTTTTTATACTAAATTATTTAAGTATTATTTCTTTTTTTTCCCCCATTTATTTATTTTATTGCATTTTAGGTTTGGGGGTACATGTGAAGAACATGCAAGATTGTTGCATAGGTACGCCCATGGCAGTGTGATTTGCTGCCTTCCTCCCCATCACCTACATCTGGCATCACTCCCCTTGCTATCTCTCCCCAGCTCCCAACCCCCCACCGTCCCTCCCTTATATCCCCCCAACTGACCCCAATGTGTAGTGTTCCCCTCCCTGTGTCCATGTGTTCTCATTGTTCAACGCCCGCCTATGAGTGAGAACCTGCGGTGTTTGATCTTCTGCTCTTCTGTCAGTTTGCTGAGAATGATGGTTTCTAGGTTCATCCATGTCCCTATAAAGGACACAAACTCATCGTTTTTGATGGCTGCATAATATTCCATGATGTATATGTGCTACATTTTCCCTATCCAGTCTATCGTCGATGGGCATTTGGGTTGGTTCCAGGTCTTTGCTATTGTAAACAGTGCTGCAATGAACATTCGTGTGCATGTGTCCTTATAGTAGAATGATTTGTAATCCTTTGGATATATACGCAGTAATGGGATTGCTGGGTCAAATGGAATTTCTATTTCTAGGTCCTTGAGGAATGGCCACACTGTCTTCCACAATGGTTGAACTAATTTACACTCCCACCAACAGTGCAAAAGTGTTCCTATTTCTCCACATCCTCTCCAGCATCTGTTGTCTCTAGATTTTTTAATGATCACCATTCTAACTGGTGTGAGATGGTATCTCAGTGTAGTTTTGATTTGCATTTCTCTGATGACCAGTGATGATGAGCATTTTTTCATATGTTTGTTGGCCTCATGTATGTCTTCTTTTGTAAAGTGTTTGTTCATATCCTTTGCCCACTTTTGAATGGGCTTGTTTATTTTTTTCTTGTAAATCTGTTTTAGTTCTTTGTAAACTCTGGATATCAGCCCTTTGTCAGATGGGTAAACTGCAAAAATTTTTTCCCATTCTGTTGGTTGCCAATTCGCTCTAATGACTGTTTCTTTTGCTGTGCAGAAGCTGTGGAGTTTGATTAGGCCCTATTTGTCTATTTTGGCTTTTGTTGTCAATGCTTTTGGTGTTTTGGTCATGAAGTCCTTGCCTACACCTATGTCCTGAATGGTTTTGCCTAGATTTTCTTCTAGGGTTTTTATGGTGTTAGGTCTTATGTTTAAGTCGTTAATCCATCTGGAGTTAATTTTAGTGTAAGGTGTCAGGAAGGGGTCCAGTTTCTGCTTTCTGCACATGGCTAGCCAGCTTTCCCAACACCATTTATTGAACAGGGCATCCTTTCCCCATTGCTTGTTTTTGTCTGGTTTGTCAAAGATCAGATGGTTGTAGATATGTTGTGCTGCCTCCGAGACCTCTGTTCTGTTCCATTGGTCTATATCTCTGTTTTGGTACCAGTACCATGCTGTTTTGATTACTGTAGCCTTGTAGTATAGTTTGAAGTCCCACCATCCTGACCAAACCCCTATGAAGATGGATTAAAGACTTAGATTTAAGAGCTGAAACTATAAAATGACTAGAAGAAAACTAGAGAAAATCACTTCAGGACACTAGTCTAGGCAAATATTTTATGGCCAAGAACTCAAAACACAGAAAACAGAAACAAAAATAGACAAATGAGACTATATTAAACTGAAAAGCTTCTGCACAGCCAAAAATAAAAAATAAAAAATAAAAAACAGCATAGAGTTATAACCTCTTTAAAGGGAGAAATTATTTGTAAACCATTCATCTGACATGGAACTACTATCTGGATATACATAAAAAAAAATTCAAAAAACCCAACAGTGAAAAAAAAACTAAAATATTTTATTAAAAATAGGCAAAGGACATGAATAGAGATTCGTCAGAAGACATATAAATGGTCAGCAGGTATATGAAAAAAAATTCAATATCACTAATTATCAAGAAATTGCAAATTAAAACCGCAAAGAATTTATTTCAGTTTGAATGGCTGGTATTAAAAAGACAAAAAGTAACAGATATTGGTAAGGATGTAGAGAAAGTGAATGCTTGTATGCTGTTGGTGGGAATACAAATTAGTACAGCCACTATGGAAATCGGTATGGAGATTTCTCAAAAAAATTACAGATAGAACTACCATACAATTCAGCAATCCAACTTCTGGGTATTTATCCAAAGGAAATGAAATGAATATGTTAAAGGGAAACATCACTCCCACGCTTATTGTAGCACTATTAGCCGTAGCAAAGTTAAGGAGTTAACGTGCCTATCAGTAGACAAATGGAAAAAGAAAATGTGGTACATATATACAGTAAAATACTATGCAACCATAAAAACTTATGAAATCACGTTGTTTGAAGCAGTATCGATGGAACTGGAGTTACTTAGTGAAATAACTCAGGCATAGACAGACAAATATTTCATATTCTCATTTATACGTGGGTGTTTGAAAAGTTGACCACATTGAGGTAGGGTGTGAAATGACAGATACCAGAAATAGGAAGGGCATATATTGGGTGTAGCAGGGATGAAGACAGGATGGTTAAAGTATAGATAGAAAGAATAAGTTCTAATGTTTCATAGCAGAGTCAGGTGACTATAGTTACCAACAATGTATTCTTCTTCTTTTTTTTTTTTTTTTCAAAATAACTGTACTCAACACATAGAAATTATAAATACTCAGGTAATAGATTCCCTGAATACCCTGACATGATCATTACACATTCTAGGCACATAACAGAATTTTACATGAAGCCTGTAAATATATACCATTATGTCAACACAAATTATAGACATTAAAAATTCATTTCAGTTGGTGAAAATACAACTTTTAAAAAGTGTGAAATATAAAGACAACAGTCATGAGAAGAAAATTTATAGCATTAAATTCGTATATTAGAAAAGGAGAAAGGTGTAAAATAATTAATCTAAACTTATACATAGTGAGCCAGGCACAGTGACTCACACTTGTAATGGCAGCAATTTGGGAGGCCAAGGCAGTAGAATCACTTGAGCCCAAAAGTTTGAGAACAGCTGGGCAACATAGTAAAACTCCATCTCTGAAAGAACAAAAAACAGCCAGGTTTGGTTGCACATGCCTATAATCCTGGCTACTTTGGGGGACTGAGGTAGGAGGATCCTTTCAGCCCAGCAGGTGGAGGCTACAGTGAGGCCTATTTGTACCACTGTACTCCAGCCTGGATGAGAGTGAGACCCTGTCTCAAAATAAATAAATAAATATGTATATAGAGTGAACTAGAGGAGAAAGAATAAGTCTAGAGTAAGCAGAAAAACAAATTAGAGCAGAAATCAATAAAATTGAAAACATGAAGAACAAGAGACATCAATGAAACAAAAAACTGGTTCTTGAAATGATTAATTAAATTGGTAGGTTTCTGCCTAGGCTAACAAAAAACATAGAGCAGATACATATTACTAAAATCAAAAATGAAAAGTGGTTATCAATGCTGATTCTAGGACCATTAAAGGAAAATAAAGCAATAACTTTATGCCTTCATATTTGATAACTTATTTGTAATAGACCAATTCCTTGAAAGACAGGCCACCAAAACTGACAAAAACAGAAATTAATTATACAAACAGGTCTATATCAATTAAAGAAACTAAAATGTAATTAGTAACTAATAATCTTCTAAAAACAAAACAGAAGGCTCAGATTATTTGATTGGTGGATTCTATCAAACATTTAAGGAAGAAATTATACCAATTATTTACAATTTCCTCCACAAAATTACAGGACAGAGGATACTTCCTAATTCATTTTTTGAAGCCAGCATTACCCTTATTGAAACACACACATGTATAAAATGCTACAAGAAAGGAAAACCACAAACCAGTATCCCTAATGATAGATGCAAAATCCTCAACAATACATTAGCTAATTGAACCCAACACTGTATAAAAGGAATTATATACTACAGGAAAATGGTATTTATTCCAGATATGAAAAGCAATTCAATACCAGAAATTCAGTTAATGTAATCCTCCACATCAATAGACTAAAGAACAAAAATTTCATGACTATATCAATAGATGTAGCAAAAACATTCAACATAATCCAACCCTGATTAATAACTTTTTAAAATCTCAGCAAACAAAATACAGGGGAACTTCAACTTGATAAAGAACATTTGCAAAAACTCTGTAGTTATCATCCTCATTTTTAACAGTGTGAAACTAGCTACTTTCCTCCTAAGATTAGGAAAAAGTCAGGAATGTCCCTACTCATAACTCCCATTCAACATCATACAGAAAGCTTTAGTTAATGCAATAAGACAGAACAAGGAAATAAAGTATATACAGTTTGAGAATGAAGAAATAAATCTGTCTTTCTTCATAGAAGACATGATTGTCTATGTAGTAAAATCATTAAAAATTCTCTGGGTACTAATAAGTGATCAGAGCAAAGTCACATGGTACAGGGGTAATATAAATAAGTTCATTGCTTTCATATATACCAGTAATGAATGATAATTTGAAATCAAGATAATTTGAAATTAAGGACATTTACAATAGTAGCCCAAAATGAAATTAATCCATAGGTATAAATTTAACAAAATATGTAGAAGTTCTACCTATTAAAAATTTCAAAGCTCTAATAAAAGAAATTAAAGATTTAGGTAAACGGATTGTGAATAGTGGGATCCAGGTTTCCTAGACTTACAGTGGCAATTCGGTAGTAAGGCAAGGAGAAAATGCTCAAATTATCTAAATGGTAATATATTAGAGTGGGAAACATAATAAAAACTCATATTTAGGTCAATATATCTATAAGGGATACATCATATAGAAATATTTATACATATATGTGCATACATATGGGTTAGTTATTTTGTAAGTTCAGAAAGTGATATGGTTTGGAGCTCTGTCCCCATCTAAATCTCATGTTGAATTATATTCCCCAGTGT